AAATCAGAAACTTACCATAATGGATGTTTATTTTCACTCATACAATATCCAAATGTGGGTGTATCCCGGCTGGGCAGTTCTTTGGGTTATTTTGGACAGCCCAGTCTCTTTTCATCTTTTTTTTGGTGGGGGGTGGCACTGTGGTTTAAACTCAGGGCTTCATGCTTGCTAGACAAGTGCTCTTCCTGCTTGAGCCACTGTGCCAGTCCTCTTTCCATCTTGAGGCTCTGCCCCTTCATAGATCCTCGGATCTACTATCAGCTGAATGATAAGAAAAGGGAGAACATAGTGCATTGCAAGGGCAATTTGTATATGGGTTTCATAATAGCTCTATTGAAATATAATGCACATACCATACAAGTCAGCCATTTCAAATGGCCAACTCAGCTAGCGATGTAGCTCAGTGGTACAGTGCTTGTCTAAAATGACTCACCACTTTGTGAGGGAACATGCTATGTAAATACATGGGGGAATAGAATTCTAGGTAAAGTGATATGCACATGGAGCAGAAAGAGGCTCGTGCCACTGGGGCAGAGTAGGGAAAGGGAGAGTAGGGTGGTAAGAAATGAGGTTGAAGAATAACTGGGCACCAGAGCTTGCAAAGCCTTATACACCATTAAAAATTAATTTTTGTTCTGAGCTAGGAGACCCTGGAGAGTTTTCAGAAGAGGAGTGACCTGACCTGACTTGTAGAGCAGCAGGATCTGTGTTTGTAACAGATTATAGAGATGTAAGGGGTGGAAGTAAGAAATGACATTGGCTTGGACCACGTTGGTGGACCAATTTCAGAGATGGTTTAAAATAAGAGCCAGTAACATCTACTGAGTAAATAAAGTGTATTAGGGGAAATTAAGCATGACTCTAAAGTTTTGGGACTGAATAACAGGAAGAATGGACTGGCCATTAAATAAGATGGGGAAGACTATTGAGAAGAACAGTTTGATAAGGTGACCAAGTGTTCAAGTTTGGATGTGTTGAGTTTGAAGTATTAGACATGCAAAGGAGATGCTGAGAAAGCAGTTGGGTGTGTAAGTCTGGAGTGTAAGGGAGAGGCTTAGACCAGAAATAGGAATTTGGGGTCATCAGAATATAAATGGTTTGAAAAATCATGACACTAGATGGTACCATCAAGGGATCTGTGCAATTACCAGTAAAGAGGAAAGATCCAAGGGTTGTGTCTGAGGATGCTTCAATGTTAAAAGAACAGAGAGATGAATAGAAACCAGAAAATTGGACTACCATAGAAAGTAAATCAGGCAAGTGTGGTGGCCTGTAAATCGAATGAAGATAGTCCAAGAAGAAAGGAGTACACAAGTGTACCTGTAGGTCAAATGCATAGGTCAAGCAGGACAAGGACTGAGCATGGCTCAGTGGCTTTAGCAATGATGCAGACCTACTGAGTCAGAATGTGCAGGATAAGAAGCAGGGTTGTCTTTAGTCTTCTCTCCAGAGGTTCACATTTAATTAGTCTAGGGTGCTCTCTAGACCCCAGGGCTTTTAAAGCTCCCTAGGTGATTCTACTATGTAAACCCACTGGCATCACTTTCTCTTCAATGTGACATGGCCTTATTGCCAGAAACAGATGCTGCTGACTGATCAAACACAGGGGTTTTTACCTACAGGCTTGTTCTTGGATACCTTGGGATCTGACAGTGATAAGCAGATCCTAAAGCTGATTATTAACCACTCTAGAGATATTAGCACCTGTCTTAAAGTGGCTTTTAAGCTGAAAATCTCTTTGCTTTTCATTTTTTTCACGTGCTTGATTTTTGTTTTGTTTTATGTATACTCAAAAGACCTTTTGTTTTGAGTAACAAGGGTAAGTTTCAAGTTAATGAAAAACTTTAAGGGAAATCTTGATGTAACTGCCCCCTCAATAAACAACAACAACAAAAAAAACCCCTGAACTCACATCAATAATTAAGCATTTAAGTGAGTTAAGTACATTTTTTGCAGAATCATGAATATTTCACACCTCAAAGTTAGCTAGTAACAGGTTTAGAAATTTTGTACCTCATTAAAGTTTTAATCTTTTTGTATTCTCGCCACAGACATTAGAAGTCATTTAAATGCTTTCGTAAATTTGAGTTGGATTGGTATCTGTTAGCTGTTTAAAAATTAAAGAATACCACAGGTAGCGTGTGCAAAAAGATATTTGGTTTGCAGGCTTGCAAGATCCCTGATGCACTTTCCACCAGCTGGAGAGCCAGGAAAACCAGTGGTCCAATTCAGTCTGAGTCCAAAGACCTGAGAACTGGGGGGTGCTGCTGGAATGAGTCTTAGAGACTGAAAGCCTGGGACCCGCAGCTCCAATGTCTGAGGACAGGAGAGTGGGAGAGAGAAAGAATATAAATAAAATTATTATGTGGTCATTTTGCTTCACCCCACTCCTTCATACTCCAGTACTCTTTTCTTACGAGTCAAAGATGTACCATTTTACCCAACATGTCTCTCTAAAAGTTAAGGATACTTTTATAAAACAATCATGGCTATGTTATCAAACCCAAATTTCTCAATGTCAGTGTTCATGTTTTCCTGGTTTTTAAATTTTTTTCTTGTCTGAATTATGATCCAAACAGAGTCCATACATTGCATTTGGTTGCTATCATTCTTAAGTCTTTTTTGTTACATTGCTTTCCCCTTCTTGTCTTATTTATCTTTTCCTTATGATTCATTTGTTCACAATAGAATCAGGCAGAGACCGAGTGTACTTGTACAAGATTTCCTGGTGCAGATCTTAAGCACTTGTTACATTTGAAAATAAAAAAGGAGGCCTGGGGGCCTGACTCAAGTAGTATGGTGCCTGCCTAGCAAGTGTGAGGCCCTGAGTTCAAATCCCAGTATTGCCAAAGGAAAAAAACCCCAAAACCTTATTTAAAAGATATTTTCCCATTAAAGTGCAGTATCCTCACAACCAGTCTTTCAACAGAATGAATGCACATATATTCCTTATTTATGATCTAATAACATGTACCTTCCAGGAGAAACAGTGCAGGTGACCGTGAGAAAGCTCTTCAGGTCATGCTCCAGGTTGTACAGAGCTGTGACCACCCAGCCCCTGACATGTTCTGCCTGTGTGGAAGGATCTACAAGGACATCTTTCTGGATTCAGACTGTGAAGACGATGCCAGCCGAGACAGTGCCATTGAGTGGTAAATAGCACATACAGCTCTGCGGAGAACAGAATGTGTGTGCCTGTCTGCTAGCAGTGAAAAATTGCAATAAATGTGGTCCAGGAATTTCCAGATTCCCTCTTCTGAGAGAAAGCCATGAGAAACATTGTTTTCCCATTTATGAGGTAGGAAGGAGGCTCAGCACACTCCTTCTTCACTACCCCTTCCAGAATCTTGTCAACCACCATTGGAGTATTTTCTTCCCAGTAAGCCCTTCCTTCCTTCCTTCCTTCCTTCCTTCCTTCCTTCCTTCCTTCCTTCCTTCCTTCCTTCCTTCCTTCCTTCCTTCCTTCCTTCCTTCCTTCCTTCCCTCCCTCCCTCCCTCCCTCCCTCCCTCCCTCCTTCCCCCCTTCCCTCCTTCCCTCCCTCCCTCCCTCCCTTGTTTATTGAGGGCTTATTTTATACCAGAGAATTTTCTAGATGGGTGGATGCAGACTCAACAGATATGAGTCCCTGCCCTCAGGGACCCTGCATTGCTAGTGAGGAAAGTAATTCAAGCAAATAAAGCAAAATGTGTGGTAGGATTACAGCTAATGGGAAAAAGTTAAGCAGAGCAGGGGAAAGAAGGGCTGGGAAGGTGGTCTGCAGTTTTAAAAAGTGTGCTTAGTGAAGGTGAATAAATATGTGAAGGTGGTGAGGAAGTGGGCTTTGCAGATTATTCTGTGAAGACTTCAAGGAGGAAACATGGTAGACACACTCAAGGATGGTGAGGAGTAGGCAAAGGAAGAGCAGCATGACACAGGAGAGAAGGAAGATCCTTTTACTCTTAAGTGGGAAGGGACACTGGAGGTTTCTGAGAAGACTGACAGGATCTGATACGCATTTTTTTTTTGGCAATATGGGGATTTGAACTAGACCTTGTGCTCAGGCACCCTGCAACTCAAGCCATGCGCCCCTCCCAGCCTTCTAACATTCATTTTTACAGGAGTATTCTCACCATTATGAAGAGAATGTATTTTAGGAGGTGTTTCAGTTTTGGCTTGTTGCATAACAACCATGCAAGTTAGTGGCTTTAAGCAACAGCAATTTATGGTTTCTCATGATCCTAGTTCCTCTGCTGGCTTTGCCTGGGCTCACTCCTAAAGTTGCTGTCAGCCAGTGGGTCAGGAAGATCTAGAAGATCCAAGATGGTCCCACACACATTTGGCAGCTGGTGTTGATTGCTGGTAGTGTGCTTCAGTTCTTCGCCATGTCGCTTTAATCCTGGCAGACCAGCTTTCTTACCTGGTAAACAGCATTCTAAGAGTAAAGGTGGGAGCTGCAAGGTCTTTTGGGATTTAGGCTCAGGAACTCATGTGAAGTCAAGTCTGCCACATGCTATTGATCAGAGCAGGACACTTGACCTGCCCAAATCAAAAGGATGGAGAAATGCACTCTATTTCTCTATGGGAAGATCTGCAAAGTTGTATTGAAAAGGGAGGAATTTTTGGTCAATTAAGCAGTCTACCATAGGGGCAAGGACAGAAGCAGGGAACAGGAAACTATTGCAGTAGTAATTTAGGGGAGAACTTATGGCAAGTTGAACCAGGGTAGTAATGATGAAAATGATGAGATATATATTGATTAAGTAAATGATATATTCTGAAGATGGAGCCAACAACTCACATCATCCATTTCCATCAGAAAAGCTCTTGACATTGTTGTTTTGCTCTAATTTAATTCTGTTTGTATTCCCTCCTTTTCCCTTTCTGTCCTTCCTTCTCCCCCTCCTTCCATAATGTGGGAGGCTCTGTCCTCTGCCACCTTCTCTCCATTCACACATACTTCTGGCAATCCCAGCCACTCCCATGCCATGGGACCCTTAACTGGAGACCCAACCTCTTTCCTGAGCTGTGGCCTAATATTACCCTCTTTTTACCTACCTGTTCTGCCTCAAGATGGTGTTAGTATTTAAGAGTCACCATGTTGAAGGTTGAAGTCATTCCTCCTCTCCACAAGGTATGGCTTCCAGTGTTTTGCTAACTACCATTTTTTACCCACCCAGACGTAAATATTTGATTAATGCTTGATTCCTCTAACTCACTCACCTATCTTTCTATATAGTCAGTTCCCACTTCCAGCCCTTTTGTGAGTCTTCCCTTATTCCTTTCTAATCCTTTCCCATGACCCTCCCCAAGTCACTGCCATTTTTTTTTACCAGGAATGTTCTAACACTATTCCACATAGACACTTGCTTGGTGTCTCTTCAGTCCATCCTTCATAGATTTATAGCTTATTCCTCCTAAAGTTAAGAACCCCACCATGGAGCCCCATTCCCTATTATATAAAAATTCAGACTCTTAGATAACCATCCTAAATGCCCTGGAAACTTTCTCCAGCCCACTTCCAGCCCTGTTTTCCGCTACTGATTTGTGTTCGACTGAGCTGAAGTTCCTTAGTTGCTTTCCAAGTTCCCATCTTTGCTTTTGACATTTTTTGTTCTAGGGGTTCCTTTTCCACATCACTGCTGTTATTACACTTCTAAACATATTCATGCCATATCGCCAGTCTCTAGAGGCCCTCTAGATTTGGAGTTGTGTGGTTTTAGGATACTTCTCACATTCTTTCTTATATTTTCACTAGTTGTGTATGGATCTGATCCCCTACTTCATAGTGTAGGTTCTTAGAAGGCAGGGACCTTTTTAATTCTCATTTAATCCCTAGAAGTACCTAATGCACTGTATGATACAGAAGAATCACACAGGATTTTGAAGTGAAGTTAATGTTTGATAGAGCTAAAACAGTAAGTTGTGTTCCCATTTTTGGTGGCTAAGAATTCAACTCCCACGTCAGGAAATCACTGCCCATGACTCCTTCACGAAAGTCATAGAAGTTTGTCTCTACCCACTACAAAGGTAGTGGCAGTAGGTACGGAAGCAAATGCAGCTTAGTCTCTGATCATGGCAAATGCAGCTTAGTCTCTGATCATGGCAAATGCAGCTTAGTCTCTGATCATGGCACATTTGCCATGATCAGATGACACCCTCCAGATCGTCTAACCCAGACCCTCAAGTATGGATATGGACCATGTGGCCCAGGTGGGTGGCTGGTCCAGGGTCACAGGGATGGTTGATAGCAAATCTGGGACTGTAATCTAACTAGAATTCAAATCATCTTTGCTCAAGTGCCCAAGTGAGTCCTGTGTGACTTATCTTTTGTGTGTGTGTGTGTGTGTGTGTGTGTGTGTGTGTGTGTGTGAGATACTAGGGTTTGAACTCAGGAATTCACACTTGTGAGTCAGGCGCTCTACCACTTGAGCCACACCTCCACCCTGTGTGATTTATGAAGAAGGAACCTCTCTGCTCTCAGTGTAACTCTTTCTTGTTAAAAAATTCCAATGGGATACGGGACTTAAGTTCTCAGAACATACAGGGTAGGGGAGGAAGGTTGGAATTTTGTTAACTAGTGTCCTCTGGTCTGTCTAATGGTACTCGTATTAGGCTCCAAGGTTCATAAAGCCACATTTTAGCTGACTTAAATAACTCCTCCCTTCAACAATTAATATTTTATTGTTGAATTCTCTTGTCACAGGAGTGGTAAAATTATTTCTGATTTACAAGTTCTTGGTATTTACTGTGCCACTTAAAGACATTGTGTTAGCATTTCATTGATTGAATCATTTTCCCTGATCATTATAGTCATACTTGCTCATGGAAGAGAAAGAAACTTTACTGTTGTGCTGGGAGTTCATTGTAGCACTTACAAATGTTCTTACAGTATATCAAATATATCATACTTGAATTTACCTCCTCCACCATTCTCCTTTATCCCCTCTGCTCCCCATTCTTAGAATAGTTTCAACAGGTATCATTTTTCCATTTACCTACATGTATACACAGTATTTGCACCACATTCACCCTCTTAACACCCTTTTCCCACATCCTCCCCCCTCCCACTGGCACCAACTCCCCAGACAGGACATGTTCTGCCCTCCTGTTCTCTGATTTTGTAAAAGAAAAAAAATGACATTTTTTTTTGTTTAAGAGAACTAGACAGGGAGTTTCCTTGTGATTTTCCCTGTATATATGTATTACAACCTGAATTGGTTTATCTCCTCTTTTTTTCTCCTTTCTACCTTAGTCCTCTTCTTATGGTGAATTCAACAGGTTTAAAAATTCTATATTCATTCTTGTATAGGAAGTGCATCAACCATATTCACCTTCTTAACTTCCTTCTTTTACCCTCCCTCTTTATATAGAAAAGAATTAAGAGAGTTAAAATGGAATTGCTAATCTTTTTCATATAAAAATAACATTCCTAGTTTTTAGGGGAAGGTTGTTTGTTTATTTTGACGTAGGGTCTCACTGTGTAGCTCAGGCTTGTCTCAAATTTGCTGTGTACCTCAGGCTGGCCTGGAACTCATGATCCTCCTGCCTCAGCCTCCTGAGTGCTGGGATTACAGGTATAAACCACCACACCTAACCTACAAGTTTTATATCTTGTTCCTTATCCCAATGTGGTTTATCCCTACCTCCTTCCTCTCTTTATACCACTGACCAGATAACTATTTGAGATCTGAGATTCTAGCATTATGGCTTCATACATGAAGAAATGGATTTCATGTTATGATATAAGCAAACAAATGGCGTGAGAGAAATAGCCTATGATTGCTGCCATTTCTATGTAATTAAAACATTCTCAATGTACAACTGGCGTCTAACTTTAAAAATGAGATTTGGTCATCAAATTGTGGATCATCTTATAATCTTATGATATATTTTAAATTTCTGTGCTTTAATATGATTTCCCTATTTATATGCTCATTATGGCTTTTATAATAAAAAAATAAACCTTAGTTTAAGAAAATGTGGTATTTATACACAATGGCATTTTATTCAGCCACAAAGAAGAATGAAGTTTTGTCATTCGCAAGTAAATGGATGGAGTTGGAGAATATCATCTTAAGTGAAGTTAGCCACATGTTCTCCCTCATACGTGGATTATAGACCTAAAACAAATGCAGTAATATTATTATACATGGGTCACACTCTAAGGGGAGACTGTGCACAGGAGGAATAGGAAGGAAACCTAAAACTTGAATGTGGTTGATGTGCCTACTGTAGAGGAGTGAATATAGTAATCTTAAGCTGGCAGGAGCCACTATGGGAAGGTGGCCAGGAAGTAGTGAAGAGGTCTGGTAGAGATGAACCAATGTGGGTTGCAATACACAAGTGCATGGAAGCAATGCTAGGAATCTCTCTGTATAGCTATCTTTATCTCAAACTAGCAGAAATGCTGTCTTTCTTATTATCTCTTATGCTTTCTCTTCAACAAAATTGGAGAACAAGAAGGTGGAACAGGTTCTGCCCAAAAGTAGGGGAGGATGGGGGAAGGCAAATAATGTATACACATGTGAGTAAATGTAAAAACGATAAAATTTAAAAAATAAAAAAAGAAGAAAACAAAAAATCAGCCTTAGGAAGAAAAAAATAAAACTCTCTAGTATAAGTTACTATATTTCTATTACAACATAATAACTCAAAATAATCTCAAATAACTCAGTTATTTGAGAGTCGCATGTAGCTGTTCATCAAGCTAAGAGAAGGAACTGTAAAACAATAAATTAGAGGCATAAATATGTTAATGAGAAGGTAGTTTGTACCATTATCTACACATTTTTGTTCTAGTGTAATGTAAGATTTGGTGGTTCTATAATTATAGGTATCGCAAAGGGTTTGAACTCCAGTCATCGCTTTATTCAGGAATTAACCTTGCAGTTTTGCTGATAGTTGCTGGACAACAGTTTGAAACATCCATGGAACTAAGGAAAATAGGTAAAGCTGTTTATTATTGCAGATGTTGCTGCTTTGGTTAAAGCTTAGCATTAAAAATTATGTTTAAATAACTAGTGTTGTTTTTCAAAAGGAATAATCAGTTGCTTTCTGACAGCAGCCAAAATAAAATGCCTGCTTGTCCTTTACCTAAAGGCTTACATGGTATGACAGAAGCTAGAAAGATCTTTCATGCATCTATCCAAAATTCAAATTCTTAAGGTGTCCGGCTGAACAGTTTGTTGGGAAGAAAAGGGAGCTTGGAAAAAATGAACAATTACTGGGATGTGGGTCAGTTCTTCACTGTCAGCATGTTGGCCAGTGACATCGGGAAGGCCGTCCAGGCAGCAGAAAGGTTGTTCAAACTGAAACCTCCAGTCTGGTAAGTCTCATCTGTGCCGTGTGATTGCCCATCTCCATACTTGACCTTGTTCTGAAATGTCTCCCTGCAAGACAAAAGGTGCAAATGTACAAAAGAGTGACAACTGCTGTGTTTCTCCTTCTGAATTCATGAAAGCAGTTAGGGCAAACTGAGGGCTCATTGCTTTTACATGAAGGGAGGGAAAGACAGACAGACAGACACATGCACACGCAGAATACTATCCCTGCATGCTCTCTCCCTTGGATTACATTCTCAGTCCTAATAATTTCTTCTAGGTCCTCAGGAGCAAAACACTTTCATACTGGTGTGTATTATGCATTTGTAAGAAAGCATGTGGTAAAGCTTAAAAAACCACACCAAAAAAATGATGTTCATCACAAATGCTGGGACTAAAAGGCCAATAATAAAGTGTGGTTGATAAAATGACAATACCGCAATAGCCCTAGGTTAGCCCATTATGCGGCCATGTTAGGTGTACAGCAAAAGATACTTAAAGACATGGAAGTGTGTTCATGGTTTATTGTCACAAAAAAGCCAGTTGAAGGGCTTATTTTTCTTTACTGGTGGTTCTAAGTCTTTCTAATACACCTGAATCACCTGTGTTGATTAAAACACAATTTCTGGGGCTACTCTTGGGTGTCTAGTTTAGTAAGTCTAATGTAGAGCATGAGAATTTGCATTTACAAATTATAAGCTGCTGCTGCTGGTCTGGCAATCACACTTTGAGAACCACTTTTCTATATGATTTATGTGTTTGGTACATGACTCCTAGGGAAAGGTCTGGGAGGAATGGGCACTACCTGACTTCACCAAAGATGTGAATCTCTATGGGAATTGATTATCTTACTGATTGCTTCCATCTCATAACAGATGTTCAGTAGAAAGTTGCATAATGAATAAATGATGAATTAGGATGTTTTCTAAAATACTGACAGTGGTTATCTCAGGTAGACAGCCTTATTAGAATATGTTAATCTTTTCCCCGCTTATCTCTATTTTCTGATTTTTCTAAAATACACATGGATTGAGTTTTCCTTATCCAGAGGCTTAGGATCAGATTCAGATTGTGGACTTTGTGAATTTTGGAATATTTGTATAAACTTTATCACTTGAACATCACTAACTAAGATCTGAAATACTTAAAAATCAAAAACTTTGTGAATGCTCAAACAATTTGGGGTTCTGGAGCATTTCAGGTTTCTGGTTCTTACCCTATACTTGCATAATTTTAAAAATTTTACTTTTTTGGTGGTACTCAGGGCTCATGCTGCTAGGTATGCATGCCCCCAGCCTTTTTTGATTTGATTAATTTTGAGATAGGGTCTCACATTTATACCTGGGCCTGCCTATGCTGTGATCCTCCAATTTATGCTTCCTATGTAGCTGGAGCGACAGGTGTATGCCACCATGCCAAGCTTTTTATTGGTTGAAATGGGGGTCTCATGAACTTTTTGCCTGGCTGGCTTCAACCCACAATCATCCTGATCTCCACTTCCAGAGTATCTAAGATTACAGGCATGAGCCATCTTTCCCGGCCTAAAAATTTACTTTTAATGATTTGTGTTCATCTACCATTTCTTATTTCCCAGTTCAGTTGGCCAGTTGCATTCCCAGGAGAAGGAATCCCTTCAGTCATATCTAGTTTGACCCCATCTCTTCTCAATCTGAAGGACCTTAAATTTGGCTCCCAAACCATATCTACCTCCTGGAAATTCTCTGAGGCTGAGAAAACATAGCTAGGCTGGGCCTCTAGCCCTCCTGGAATGGCTAGCTGTGTACAGGATCCATACTTAAGGTGCATTGCTGCATCTGAACTAGGTGGCACTGACTCCAGGGAGAAGAGCCCTCAAGGGTCAGATCCACTGTCATTGTATCAGCACCTGGGCTGACTTACAGTGTTGTTACTTATTGTCAGGAGTCCCCAAGACCTACCCTGAGGTTCATGATTTGCTAGAAAGACTCAGAGACCTCAGACGCACTGTTATACTTATAGTTATTATTTATTACAACAAAAGGATACAGATTAAATAAACATCAGCAAAGGACACATAGGGCAGAGCTTGATATCCCATTGTCATCTCCCAGTGGACTCATACAGACAGTGCTTCATTCTCCTAGCAGCATTTTGTGGCATGAAGTGTTGCCGGCCAGGAAAGCTCACTGAGCCTTGATGTCCAGAGGTTTTTATTGGGGGTGAATCATGTGAACATAGAGTGTTTGCAGGGCTGATCTTAATACATTCATCTCCAGCCTCTTCAGAGGTCAAACTGATGTAATGCATAGTCCAAAGCCTCCACCATGAGTCATATTGTTAGCATAAACTGTCCAGCATGGCCCAAGGACACTAGTAAACAAAGACAATCTTAGCAGGCAGGATGTTCCAAGGGCTTAGAGACAATGTCTCAGTATCCAGTCAAGGGCCAGACCTTTCTTTGAAGTATGTGTAGCATTTGGGCCATCAAAGCCTGGTAAATATCAACCAAGTCAGCTACCTTCCCAAGATTACTTTATCCTCAAAGACAAAAGTAATGCTAAGATGCTTTCAGCTGAACCCATCTCCATTTAGTGCCAGAGAGATGTGACCACCACTGCCTATTAACTATATTTTAAAAAGTTCAATTTGGCCATTTTGTGAAGAAACACAACACTGAACGGTTGTGTCCACGTTGTCAACCTCGAGCAACAGTCAGCTTCTCCACCTAGAATCTGGGAGTAGAAGGTTCACGATCAAATCTCTGCTCCCTCTCCTTCCTGTGAGATTTTTTTGATCTTCAGCTATACTTTTCAGCTTTGTGAGGAACTTGTCATCAAACACAATGGCTAGCAATGTTACCAACAAGACAGATCCTCGCTCCATGAACTCCTGTGTATTCATTGGAAATCTCAACACTCTTGTAGTCAAGAAGTCTGACTGGAAGCAGTCTTCTCCAAGTATGGCAAAATTGTGGGTTGCTCTGTTCATGGGGCTTTGATTTCATCGAGTATATTAATGAGAGAAATGCCCAGGCTGCTGTAGCAAGAGAAGATGGCAGAATGATTGCTGTCCATGTTTTAGATATTAACCTGGCTTCTGAGCCAAAAGTGAATGGAGGAAAAGCAGGTGTGAAACGATCTGCAGCGGAGATGTATGGATCCTCATTTGAATTGGATTATGACTTTCAAAGGGATTATTGTGACAGGATGTACAGTCGTCATGCCATCACATATCAGGAAACACCTCAAGAAGGGGCAAAAGTGGCTTCAATTCTAAGAGTGATCAGCAGGGATCTTCTTCCAAGTCTGGAAAGTTGAAAGGAGATGACCTGCAGGCCAGCTGATCCAGATAAAGCAAAACTTGGATTCTCTACTGGAAAGGCTGGAAAAAATTGAGACGGAACAGCATAAACAAGCAGTAGAGGTGAAAAATGAAAAGTCAGAACAGGAACAGAGCAGCAGCTCTCAGAAGAAAGATGAGACTAATGTGAAGGTGGAGTCCAAGGGGGTGCAGATGACTGTGCTGAGGAGGGGGACCTACTGGACGCTGATGGTAATGAAGATGGAGGAAGACCAGCTGGATTTGATCAAGAATATGAAAAAGAGGCTGAAGAAGGAGAGGATGACTTGGTGGGGTTTAGAACTCTTACCCACCATTTCTTTACCTAGGAACTTGTCTAAGATCAAAATTTCACCAGATCCTCTCCCCTAGTATCTTCGGCACATGCTCTGTTCTTCCTTATCCTTCCCGAGTCAATTTGTATTGCTCTGTGCCTAGTTCCATTTTCACTTCCTTTGGTGCTCCTAGTAGTTTTGTTAAGTCTCTCCCTGCAATTATTGCTTTTAATTTTGATACCTCTTTATGACTTAACAGTAAAAAGAATGTATGGTTTCTATCAACTGTCTCCAAAATAACCTCTTGATGTGCAGGCAGCACAGTTCTTTCCATTCATACCCGATTTCAGTAGTTGCTTCCCTAACTGCAAAGGCACTCTCATTTAGTCCTAGCACCTGAGAGCAGCTTTGACTCGGAGGTATGTGTGTTATACCCCACATAAGTACTGCATAGGGCTGTTCAACACAATTGTAATGATGTATTTTTGTGAATGAGCGTTGGCATGCATCCTTCAGATTATAGTGTTATAGTCTTAATATTGTTTTCTAAAGTTGATACTGTCGGTTATTTTTGTGAACAGCCTGATGTTTGGGGACTTTTTTTTTTCTCAAAATAAGCCCTTATTAAACCAGAGGGGGAGAAAGAAGTTCAATTTGCTTAAAGGCAGCAAAGGTGTGGGCAGAGTCAAGACTTCACAAACCAAATACCTTGTCAGATTCTAATTTAAAAAAATAAATAAAAGACAGTAAGTTTCAAATTAGTGATGGCTAGGAATAAAAGGGGAGAGGATGGGAGGAAAGTCAGCATGACTCTAGGAGCAGCATGAGGGGGCCTGTGCTGATAGGAATGTTCTCTACCCTGACTACATCAATGGTAACATCATGGTTGTGATGGTATACTGTAGATGTAAGATGTTGTCATCACAGTAAACTGTCAAGGATATGCGTTCTTTCTGTATTATTTTGTACAACTTCATGTAACTTTAAAATGCCTCCAAACAAAAAGTTTAATTAAAAATAAAAAGATAGTAGATTTGAAATACTGTCATTTTAAAATTGCTTTTACTTTCAAGCTACTTGCTTTTGTTATTAAAAAGTTACCACATGCTTTCCTGTCACTATGATTTTAGATGCTGTGTTCTAAAACTGAGGTTTAATCCAGTGTTAGTAAAAACAAAAAAGTATGTTTTATGATTTTGTTGCACTTAACTTATTTTGCCTACTGTTTGAATTTCTTTTAATTAGTTATGTGGCTACCAAATGATTGTTTATGAAGCACTCATGATATAATATGGTTTTAAGCAAATAAAGCTTTAGGAAGTTTCTTTTAAAGGGAGTAGAATTGAATTCAGTTTCTTTCTTTTTTGACAGACTTGAGATTTGAACTCAGAGCTTTGCACTTGCTAGGCAGACGCTCTACTGCTTAAGACACCCCTCCAGTGCATGAATTCAGTTTCTTTAGGAATCTAACATAGGGTTTGTGATTTTTCCAGGTACCTGAGATCATTAGTTCAGAACTTGTTATTAATTCAGCGCTACAAGAAACCCATTACCGAACATTCACCCAGGCAGGAACGGCTTAACTTCTGGTTAGATATAATTTTTGAAGCAACAAATGGAGTTTCTAATGGACTCAGATTTCCAGTAAGCTATGCTAAATCTGGTTTGTTTGTTTGTTTGACTGTTTTTGCAGTGCTGGGGATCAAACCCAGGCCCTTGCACATACTAGGCAAGTGCTCTGCCACTGAGCTACATCCCCAGCCCCCAATTCTTTAAGGTAAACAAAAGAAACTAGAGATTAGTGCTATCAAATTATTGAATGCTTTCAAAGGAAGAAAATTGTAATTTATAATGTTAGGATAACCATCAATCCTCTGTGGAATCAGCAAGTCATTGATAAATTCCTAGGGGAAAAAGTTGGCCATATCTTCTCAAATAGAGTGAGTTTGTCCTCCACGGAGCATTTGGCAATATCTGAAGACATTTTCAGTTGTCACAACTGTGGAAGGAAGTGGTGCTACTGGCCACCAGTAGGATAGAGACTGGAGAGGCTGGTAAATATCTCAGAATGCATAGCACAGCCCCACACAATAAAGAATTATGCAGCCCAAATTGTCAATAGGGCCAAGGTAGAGAAACCCTTCTTTAAAAATGCAGTACTAATAGTGAAAACATGAAATCTAATACTATCTCCTGTTAAGCTTTGGCTTGCCTCTAGTACCACTAGTCAATATTTAAAACTTTATACAAAAAGAATTGCTTTTAGCTTGTCATTGAGTTTTTGGTTCAATGCTGTGACCATCTTATAATGTGTTATTAATAAGATAGCTGAGTGTCCTGGAAATTAAACTTCAGTAATTGTGTTTAATATTTATGCCATGAGATTTTATGGACATACAGTTTTCAAGAATTTCATTAAACATCCAATAAAAGAGTTGTTGGAAATGATAATTATTTTGTTCTTGTGTTAATACATTTTAGAATTTTCTTTTAATTGTGAAATATTTCAAGCCTGAAAGGTACAAACCAGTAACGAAACACACACCTGTGTAAGCTCTACTCAGGTTTAGCAGTCTTAAATGTGTTGCTTTATTTGCTTTGGAGATTTATTCCCTTCCTCCCACCTCTCTACCTGTCCCCTTTTCTCTTTCTTTCATCCTCCACCTCCTCCTCTTCCTCCCTTCCTCTCTCTTACTGATGGACATACCACTAATTTTTTATCTCCTTACATGTTCACTCACATGTTACCTGCTGGCCATCAGATCTATTTCCTTATTTCTCTCAAAAATTGTAACCTCCACTTTTCTTTTGTCACCTCTGCAGGCAAGCTTTTCTTGGTCACCCTGTCTGAAAAAGTATCCCATCTCTCTTCTGTCTTATTCTCTTCAGAGTGTTACATAACATTGGGTTACACATCCCTGTCTATTTGCTGCTCCATTTGCCCCATTGGAGCACAGCCCTCCCTGTGGGCAGGCACTTATGTGTCCTGCTGTAGTCCCGGCTCCTAGAGCCATGCTTGTCATATTTGGTCCTTGATGAGTGTTTGTTAACAATCTTCCCACATCCTCACTGGGCAAGGTTACCTGTTTTAGATCTCAATGTGTTACATGAATCTGTTCTTATTTTAGGTTCTAGTAATAGAACCGACCAAAGTCTACCAGCCTTCTTATGTTTCTATCAACAATGAAGCCGAGGAGAGAATGGTTTCTTTATGGCATGTCTCACCCACGGAAATGGTAAGGGGAAAAGTCATGAACAGTTCTTTCATCCGTATTATTTAATCAAAGATTCAATTTGTAAACAGGAGAGTCCATGTGGTAGGATTGGGAAGAAAGGGACCCATGCTTAACTTCTGAATTATGAGACTTTGTAAGAAGGTTATAATCACAGATGTGTGTGTGTGTGTGTACATGGGGGGCTATGTGTCTGTGTATGTTGGTAGATAAGTAGGTCTTTGTATGTTTATATATACTATATATTTATATTTGCATATATAATAAGTAATATATATATGTAACAAGTACAGTTTTATTTTTTAAAAGTTAAACCATGAGGAATTAGAAAGTGCCTCCATATTTCTCAAACCTTATCCTCATTTTCCATCCCCATCCCTAGTGATTTGATGGATATCCTTTCTCTAAACTCATTTGTACATACACAGTGTACAAGCATTATACACATTTATATAGAGAGATTTAGCATTACAGTGTGACATACAGTATGTGTGTATTATTTTACAATGTATTTTTAACTCATTCATGTATCATGGTTGGTTTTTCACATAGCCCACACTGATCCACTTGACTTTAAAATGTCATATCCCCTATTTCCATATCATCTGGTATATTTCCTGGTCTAGATGACCTTGCTTTTTTTTGAGATAGGGTTTTGAGGCCAGACTGGTCTCAAACTTATGATCCTTTTGTCTCAACCTCCCGAGTGTTGGGATTACAGTGTGTGCCACTATGCATGACTATTTCACTTCTCTCTTAACGATGCATACTGAGGTCCCCCATTTTTCACTCTTGCCAATGCATTCTGGTGATGATTCCATACTAGGAGCAGAGATTTCTAGAAATGGGCTTTCTGGAATCAAGGTTACATATGTTCAAAACTTTGGTTACTATCAAATTTAGACCATTCCAGTTTGTACTTCTACCAGCAATACAAGAGACAAGCGATTATAATTGCCCATTAAAAGAGATTATAGAAATGCTGGTCTGGGGCTGATATTCTGTAGTAGTAGCAGTATTTCATTTCCTTATCTAAAGTACTTCATCAGTTTTTTTCTCTCATAAATTTTACAGTAATAACGAAACATACCACCTTTGACAAGTTCATTAGATAAACTTATTTGCTATTCATGTATTTCTATGGAGGATGGGGAGACTTCTGCCAATAACTTGGCAAAGGAAGATTATTTTTCTTCCTGGAAGCAAGAGTGTGAACTATTATGTAACAATCAGTTATAAATAAGCAATATCTTCACAAATAAAATGAGGCATCACAGAATAAGCAGAGACTCAAATCCATATTAGAAACTTCTTATCAGATATAGTCATGATATCTGAAGTGAAGGCTGGTAACCTTTGTCCAATATTCAACATTGGATCAGTATTCTTAGCATTGAGAATCGAGTCAGCAGCCATTCGTGAGGATGGCTACCTTGATGTACCTGTGTATTTTTCTTCCAAATGTGTACATTAAATAGGTGAGTGCAAAAGAGAGAAATTCAAGCTATAATAAAGTATATACACGAAATTCATACAGATATATCTCATTTGAAGTATTCACATTTTTTATTTAATTTGTCTCTCTTTTTTTTTTTTAGCAGTATGCAGTTTGACTCAGGGCCTTAAGCTTGCTAAGCAGGCACTCTACCACTTGAGCCATGCCCCTAGCCCTTTTTGTTTTTGCTGTTTTTTGAATACTGTCTCACATTCATGCTGACTGGACTGTGATCATCCTATTTAGACTTCCCATGTAGCTGGGGTGACTGGTGCACACCACCATGCCCATTTTTTTTAGCTTGAGATAGGATCTTGCTAACTTTTTGCCTCAGGTGGCCTCAAACCGTGATCCTCCCAGTCTCTGCCTCCCAGTTATCTAGGATTACAGGTGTGAGCCTCTGCACCTGGCTAACTTGATGGATTTTGACAAGGTAAACAGTAGCCAGTGCAGGTCAAGGAACAGGACATCAGTAGATCCTGCTCCTATTCTTTTGCTAGCCCTTCAAGTGCCACCTCCATGAAGCACCCTGTCCTCAGTTTGGAAATCTCCATACCAGATACCAACCATGTTTGTTTTCTTTGCATCATTAATGTCACTGTAATGCAAGAGAATTTTCAAAATTTGGATCTGTAATCTATTTCATTGATATAGGTGCAAAATATCTCATATTTTGACAAGTAGTTAAAGAAAAAGCTAATGCTATTAAAGTGATGCATCATACCTTTAAAGCAAAATGTTTTTGATCTCATGAACTTCTACCAACTTGGCCCGCCTCATTTGAATTCTATAATGGTTGCTGGTTCTTCATAGAAATTTCCATTGGTACATATATCACTAGTTGCAATTTTTTTACTTTGTTTATAATCTGTGATAAGAAATGGGAAAGAACTATATACATAGCAAATGCTAGTTTTCCTTGACTGATAAAATGTTTTGCACAAGTGCCCATCGTTGTCAGAGGAAACATCTCAAAGAAAAATAAATTGACTTTTTCTTTGAGTGGAATCCTTTGTGTTTGCTTTCACTTAACAATTTTGAAATTCTGCAGATTGTGAAAAGCAAGCAGATTTGTCTAGAGTGAAATGACATTCTTTCTTCACGGATGCATTTTTTTTCTTGGTGGGAAGAGAACACACATATGCAAGCATACAACTTCATGTAACATCACTGTAAAATGAGATTAAGTTCTTGGTTTATGAGTCAAGGACTTAGGAACTCATTGGCAGTAAGGAGGCAGTACTATACTGGGAAATGTTGAACAACCAATTAATTCCCTGGGGTTGCAGGCTGGTTTGCAGTGTTTGCTGATTTCTGTGATGTAAATACACTCGATGACCAATTTCAAACAACCTCAGGCAAACCGAATGTTATTTAAAATTATTTTCTACAGTTGTGATGTATTGGTGTTGTAGCATTTGGATTTTCAGGAACTGGATTTCAGACATTCCTTCTGAGACTTAGCTCTGTGCAAAGTTTAATAGCAGGGAATGGTGGTAGATGGAGGGCACAGTTGGATTTAAAAAATTGCATCTTTGTACACATTGAAACCCCAGTTAGTTTTTCTATTAGTCATAGTAGAACAGCTGCTAAAACTAACAGCCCCTTGTCTCAACATCTTAACATTATAAAAGTTTTTCTATGCCTCATGTCATATCAGGGTTGGTACTAGCCCCTATTTTGTCTTGTAATGGCTGGGGGAAGGAAGAAAAGTTAGAAGATTACCATAGAGGTTTTAATGGGCATGCCTAAAGATGGTGAACATCACTTTTGCTCACATCCCATTAGTCAGAACTCTGTCACATGGTCCTATCTAACTGCAAAGGAAGCTGGGGAATATAGTTTTGCCATGTGCCCAGGGAGAAAATGAAATGCAGATTAATGAATGCTATCAGTCTTGCTTCTTCAAACATTTTACAAGTCACTCACCGTAGGTGGTCTTGTTCCTAAATCTGTTTTAGGGTTTGCCTATTATGTTGACAGAAGAGGAAAGACAGTACTCAGTGTGTGTTTATTGTATGCTTATTATTTCTATCTCAAATTATTATTTCAAACTTCTCTTGTTTACTCCAAACTGGATTAGAGATACAAATGAATTTTTATAATAGATTAGAAAGTGTTTGGGGGGTTCCAAGTTATGCAAAGTATATTGTTCTAACCCCTAATAATTATTGAAAATAAAATAGCAGAAATGATTGACTAGAGAATGAAACCAAAAAGATGATCCTTTATTGGAAAAATCAAGCTACTGACTTCTGTCTTTGATACTTGCAGAAACAAATTCATGAATGGAATTTTACAGCCTCTTCTATTAAGGGAATAAGGTAAGAGAATAAGAGAAATGTAATTTATTTTAATACAAATAATGAAGATGTTTTATGCACCTTAGTGTTTCTGCTTATTCATAAGATATGATATTAGTATTTTTAATAGAACCTGAAAGACTATTTTCCATTTGTTGCCCCGCCTGAGGTTCCCAATGTGCTGCTACTCAGAGCTTCTTGGCTCATTATATTGTAGAGTAGCTTTTCTCCTATTAGCAGAAGAAGCTCTCAGATCTCAAGCTTTAAAAAAGTAATAAAATTATAGCTGTAGACCAAGAAAATGTATCTTCTTTGAACCAGAAATGTTCAAGTGGTCAGAGACCCCAATAGCTGAAGCTAGGAATTATTTGCTAATGGAAGGTGGGTGGGACCTCCTGGACAAAGCAATGGAGCCACAGGTGTTGTTTTTAGGGAGGGAGGAAAGGAGGTGAAGTAGTCCTAGAAGCGTGGTACTTGCTTTTTGGATCAGGAATGGTGACCATTTGTGGCTTTTGCACAAAGTGCTAACTTTGAAGTGCTGACACACTTCAGCTGTACTCCTCACTCTGCCAGCATGTCCAAGGGTGGAGATGGCTCTGAATTAAATGTGAGTTCTAATAAGTCCTTGCTGTGTGACATTGAGAAATCATGTAGCACCCTCATTAGGTCTTAGTTTTTTTCTCTAGAACTAGAACTTTCTTCCCCTTCTCTGAATCTAAGACTGTTTTAGGCCACTGAACATTCACTCAGACATAGGGAGGGAAATAATTTAAGTACAGAGCAGTTAATTTGGATAATATTGCCCAGAAAAATAAGATATTCCAAAAATGTTAAACAATTTCAAAAATGTATTGTTCTAATGCGAAGTTATACAAGAATATGTAGTCAAGGACCTCTGTTAGTTCTTCTTCATAGAGACACCTCCAGGTGCCATTTCGACCATCGATTGGGATTTGCATAGGAACTGAGGTGACTCAGACCTCAGGACTCACACAACATGAAGGGCATACTTTGGGTCCTGTGGTAGTTCCTTTACAGATTGGTTTTCAAAACTGGCTCATGTATAACCTAATTTCAGTTTGTTCTTAATCACCCTGGATTGTTGCTGTTTAAACACATTATTTGTCTTGTCATGTATTGCATGAAGAATGTTCTCAAAAGTTTTAGGTTTCAGGAAGAAATGATGTAGAAGGAGCCAGATAAAGTGGCTTCATTTGCTTAAATAACTAACTATAGATGGTAATCTAGCTTAATTGTCCATAGTGCCACCTGGAAGAATGAAGACAATTGCAGAGGTTTTGGCCCAGTGTGGGTGATGAACTTTCTAATAGTGAGCTATGTCAGCAGATGGAATGTGGTGACTTTCTGTCACTAGATATGTTTAGGCAAGCTGAATATTGCTTGTTTGAGGCTCTTTAAAGTTAGGTCGAGACACTGGGGAGGAAATGGACAAGATGCTATTTAAAGGCTTTTCTTGAGCTAAGATGCAGTGCTTATTGCTCTTTACCTTGTGTGATCACAAGTACTGTGTTCTGATACTTTCCAAGTATAGAAATTCCATTGATAGCAAACTAAATTACTTCACAAATACTTCACCTGTCTTTTTTGGCATATATGTGAGATTGTAAACGCTAGAGGACAGAGACCATATTTGATATCCTTTTCTGTTATCCATGTGCTTTGCTTAGCATTGAATATGCAGGAAGCTTTTGATACACATTAGTTAAAGACTGTTGATTAGTACAAACACAAACATAAGCAAGATAAATGTCTCTGGTGTTTAAATTTCATAGGGAAATAAAAGGCAACTTGTGGGGATATTTGTTAAAAGATTAATGAATCAGGAATTTGTAAAATGAAAGAAAAATCTGTTACTAGATTTTCTATAACATTGAAAATGGATATCATATCTTATGTATAAGCATTCTTATGTTTTCAAATTTTACAGCCTATCCAAGTTTGATGAACGATGTTGTTTTCTTTATGTCCATGATAATTCTGATGACTTTCAAATCTACTTTTCCACTGAAGACCAGTGTAGTAGGTGAGTTATAGCTGATTCAGGTATTTGCAATCTATTTGTGTCATGTCATTTTTATAGGGTCTTTGTTGTGAAAAATATTTATTTGCTTTACTATCTTTCTTGAAATTTTAACTTAATAGAAAATGATTTTTATAGCTTTGAGCTATAATCCACATACCTCACAACCATTTAAAGTATATAACAATGCCCTTTAGTAAACTTACAGAATTTTGCCACCATCACCACAATCTAATTTTAGAATATTTCATCACCCCTAAAGGAAACCCAGTATCCATTAGCATTCACTCCCCATTTTCTCCCAACCTCACCCTCCATGACTCCAGCCCTAATGCAACCACTAATCTACTTTCTATACATTTGCCTGTTTGGGACATTTCATATACGTGCAGTTTATACAGTATGTGGTCTTTTGTGACTAGCTTCTTCTACTTAGCACAGTGTTCTCAAGGTTCATCCATGGAGTATCATGTATTAGTACCTTACTGCTTTTGTGGCTGAATGATTTTCCATTATAGTATGCCACATTCAGCTGTTCATCACTTGGTAGGTATTTTGGATGCTTTTATTTTTTGTCTATTGTGAATTTTGCCTCTATGAACATTCATAAGTAAGTTTTTATTTTTCTTATCAAAATGCTGGATCTTATGGTAACTATGTTAACCTTTTGAGAAGCTGTCAGACTATTTATTAGCAATGTGTAAGTTCCAATTTCACTGCCTCCTTCCCAACAATTATTATTGTCTGTCCTTTTGATTATAGTCACCTAGTGTGTATGAAATGAAATCTCATTGTGGTTTTGATTTGCATTTACCTAGTGACTAGAATTCTGAGCATCTTTGCCATTATTGGCTATTTAAATATCTTTTTTGAAGAAATGTCTATTCAAATCCTTTGCCAAATTAAAAACAATTTGCACTTTTTATTTTGAAAAATGTTTGTAGCTTCAGGAAAGCTTTGAAAAAACAGGAAAAAAAACAGTACAAAGAATTTCCATGTATGTTTTACCCAGATTTCCCATGTCAGCTCTTTACATTTGTTTTACATTCTGACTATATGCATATGGCATTTTTTTCTGAACTGTTTAAGAGTAAGTTGTAGATATAATGCTGCATTACCTCTAAATACTTAACGTATATTTCCTAAAAATGAGGAATGTTCACTTATGTAATTATAGCAGTTAACTAATGAAGAATTAAGATTGATATGGTGCATGGTAGTATAATCTAAAAACCATATTCAAATATTGTCTCCCCCAATTCCTATACAAAAGCAAAACAAAGTTTTTGGGGTTTTTTTTTTGGTTTGGTTTGGTTTGGTTCATAGTCTAGTCCAGGATCACATTTGCTATTTGCCCTCTCTGTATAATCTCCTTTCATCTGGGAGAGGCCACTATCAGTCTTCGTCTTTCTTAATACTTCGAAGGAGTGCAGGTAATATGTGTTATGTAGTCCTTTTATTTGGGTTTGTTTTCTTTTTCCTTATGGTTATACTAAGTTATGTACTTTGGAAAGGAACACCACAGAAGTAGCATTGCGTCTTTCTCAGTACCTCATGTCAGGGTCCACTCAGTATCTTTGTGTCATTCCTCGTGATGTTAACTTGGATCAGCTGGTGAAAGTGGTGTTTGCCAGATTTCTCCAAACTTTGCCCATTTTACTTAGACTATTTGTCTTTTTAAAATTTTTTTATTTTATTCATATGTGCATACAATGTTTGGGTCATTTCTCCCCCCTTCCCCCTGCCCCCACCCTTACCCCCCCTTCCTTACCTCCCCTTACCCCTCACTACCCAGCAGAAACTATTTTGCCCTTATCTCTAATTTTGTTGAAGAGAGAGTATAAGCAATAATAGGAAGGAACAAGGGTTTTTGCTAGTTGAGATAAGGATAGCTATACAGGGCATTGACTCACATTGATTTCCTGTGCGTGTGTGTTACCTTCTAGGTTAATTCTTTTTGATCTAACCTTTTCTCTAGTTCCTGGTCCCCTTCTCCTATTGGCTTCAGTTGCTTTAAAGTATCTGCTTTAGTTTCTCTGCGTTGAGGGCAACAAATGCTATCTAGTTTTTTGAGTGTCTTACCTATCCTCATACCTTCCTTGTGTGTTCTCACTTTATCATGTGCTCAAAGTCCAATCCCCTTGTTGTGTTTGCCGTTGATCTAATGTCCGCATATGAGGGAGAACATAATGTTATCTTCTTCATGGCTGAGTAAAATTCCATTGTGTATAAATACCACATTTCTTAATCCATTCATCAGTAGTGGGGCATCTTGGCTGTTTCCATAACTTGGCTATTGTGAATAGTGCCACAATAAACATGGGTGTGCAGGTGCCTCTGGAGTAACCTGTGTCACATTCTTTTGGGTATATCTATTTGTCTTTTTGTATTATCACATTTCGAGAGTTCTTTATATATTCTCCATACAAGTTTTTTTATTATGATGTTCATTTTATCCATTTTTTTCTTTTGTCATTTGTGCTTTTGGTTCATATTTAAGAAGACTTTGCCTAATCTTATATGTTCTATGGTTTTTATGTTTTAGTCTAAGAATTTTATAGTTTTGGCTCTTCTATTTAGTTTTGTGGTTTACTTTTAATTCATTATTAATAAAATGTGAGGTAGGTTTCTAACTTCATTCTTTTGCATGTGAATATGTGGATTGTCCCAGCACTATTTGTGGAAAAGACTATTCTTTCTCCCATTGAATAGTCTTGGCACTCTTTCAAAATCAGCTGATCATAAATTTAAAAGTAAAAGGTTATTTCTGGACTCTGAATTCTATCCCACTGATCTATATGTCCATCCTTTTGCAAGTTCTACACTTCATTATTGTGGCTTTGTAGGAAGCTGTAAAATCAGGAAATAGCAATCATCCAATGTTGTTCATTTTTTACAAGATGGTTTTGGTTATTGTGGGTATTTGCATTTCCATGTGAATTTTAGGAACAGTTTGTCAATTTATGAAAAAAAGGGCAGCTAGAATTTTAACAGGAAATACGTTGGATATATAGATCAATTTGGGGAGCATTACTATATTATTAGGTTGTCTTCCAATCCATGAACATAAGGTGCCTTTCTATTTATTTAGGTTTCCTTTCATTTCTTTCGGCAGTGCTTTGTACTTTCAGTGTACCCATATTGTATTTCTTTTGTCTAATATATACCTGTTTTATTCTTTTGGTGCTATTATAAGTGGAACCATTTTCTTAATTGGATTTTTGGATTGCTCATTCATTAATAACGTTTAGAAATGCACTTGATCTTTGTATATTGGTTTTGTGACCTGCAAGCTTGTTGAACTTGTTTATTCATTCTCATAGTTTTTGTTGAATTGCTTATGGTTTTCCATTTATAAGATCATGACATCTGAAGACATAGTATGAATTCTTCCTTTCCAACCTAAATTCACTTATTTATTTTTCTTGTCTAAATACCCTGGCTAGAATTCCCACTATAGTGTGGAGTGGAACTAGTGCTAATAAACATCCTTGTTTTACCTCTGATCTTAAGGAGAAAGCAGCCAGTATTTCTTCATTAAATGTGATGTTAGCAGCCAGGTTTTCATAGGCAGCTTTTATCAGGATGAAGAAGTTTCTTATATTCCTAGTCGGAGTGTTTGTATCATAATTTCAGGAAATTTTAAACCAGTGTGCCTAAGGCAATCATTATCACAACATATTTAGAGATCAGACTAATTCTCAGACTATGGAGCCCTTAAATTACAGCCTTCAATTTAGAATAGGAAAAATGCTGTCAATTATTAGGTAAAATATCCTTTAAATACAAAGTTACCCTTTTTTAGTACTTGGTACCTTTTGTTATACATTTTAATAATTTTTATTTGAGGTGTATCATACATACAAGTAAAGTGCGTGAAACATGTGAAGTACACTTAAGTAGACATCTAGATAATTTTTACATGTATCTGCACCTCCCAGATCAACCCCCAGGATTGTGCCTTATGCATCATCCCAGTTGTTAAACACCCTCCATTGATATCTATTTTGATTTCTATCACCATGGTACTTTTGTCTGTTCTTCACCTTCAAATAATTACAATTAAATAGTTTGTATTCTTTTGATGTTCTTTTTTTCCCTTAAAATAATAACTGCAAGATTCAGCTGTGCTATGTGTATCTGTTCATCCTTCTTACTTCTTGTGGTGGTGAATTGTATGAACATATAATTCATTTGTTGTCCTATTGATGAACATTTGGATTATTTCCAGTTTGGGGGTAGTATAAATAAAACTGCTATGAACATTCTTATACATGTTTTTCAGTGAACATATATGCACTGATTTCTGTTGAATACATGCCTAGGAGTGGATTGCTCTGTTATAGGGAAGGTTTGTATTTAGCTTTGGTTGATAACTGCCAGTAGTTTTCCAAAGGGGTCTCGTGAATTTTCACTTCTACCAGCAACGTATAAGAGGTCCAGTTGCTTGATGTGCTTGATATGTATTCTAGTGAGTACATATCATGTGTTTATTAAGAAGCCTATCAGGTTTCTTACAGTTCAAATACTGGAAGAAGAAAAAGTGGGATGGCTTAGTTAGAAAAAAAATTTTTAATATTTTGTGGAAATCATCCTGAACTGTACATAATTCTTCCCTGCCATCTTAAGAGAGAATTCTGAGTAAAAATTGTCTACTATGTCAAAATCACTTGTATGCAAATAAGCAACTACACATGACTAAGAAGGGACTCATGTGAGTTAGCATTTGTGAAAAGGATTTATGGGTAATCGTTGATGTTAGGTTTAATCATTGTTAACAGAGTGATGCGGGCATCTTACGCATTTCCTCCTCAGGGAATGGTCCCACTATCCTTAGCACTGATTAGATCATCACTGGAACACTGGTCTCAGAGTTATACTTGAAGAGTTATACAGGGACATGTTTGAAGAATGATGTGTTAGTGGAGCAACTCACAAATGAGCCCTGAGGGAAACGAGGGAGCAAGAAGGAAAGACATAGGGGCATGATAAAAATATGTTCATTTCTTTTTTTTTTATTTATTTTTTATTATTCATATGTGCATACAATGCTTGGGTCATTTCTCCCCCCTGCCCCCACCCCCTCCCTTACCACCCACTCCACCCCCTCCCTCTCCCCCCCACCCCCTCTATACCCAGCAGAAACTATTTTGCCCTTATCTCTAATTTTGTTGAAGAGAGAGTATAAGCAATAATAGGAAGGAACAAGGGTTTTTGCTAGTTGAGATAAGGATAGCTATACAGGGAGTTGACTCACATTAATTTCCTGTGCATGTGTGTTACCTTCTAGGTTAATTCTTCTTGATCTAACCTTTTCTCTAGTTTTTGGTCCCCTTCTCCTATTGGCCTCAGTTGCTTTTAAGATATTTGCTTTAGTTTCTCTGCGTTGAGGGCAACAAATGCTAGCTAATTTTTTAGGTGTCTTACCTATCCTCGTATCTCCCTTGTGTATTCTCACTTTTATCTTGTGATCAAAGTTCAATCCCCTTGTTGTGTTTGCCCTTGATCTAATGTCCGCATATAAGGGAGAACATGTGATTTTTGGTCTTTTGGACCAGGCTTACCTCACTCAGAATGATGTTCTCCAATTCCATCCATTTACCAGCAAGTGATAACATTTCGTTCTTCTTCATGGCTGCATAAAATTCCGTTGTGTATAGATAAGTATGTTCAGTTCTAATGGGTCCTATTATTTACTGAAAGAACAAATAAAAAAGAAAGAAATGGGAAAAATACAGAAAATTGTATATATGTGTAGGGTACCATGTGGTATTTCACTACATATATGCATTATGTAGTGTTCAAATTAGAGTAAATGTATCTGTCTCCTAAGTGGTTATCATTTCTTTATGGTGGAAACATTCAAAATCCATTTTTCTAACATTTCAAAGAAATGTACAGTACATTATCAATATTTATAGTCATCCTCCTGAATGTAGAACACAAGAACTTCTTTATCCTATCTTAACTATAGCTTAGTATCATCAACTTTTCCCATCCCTCCCTCCCCATACTCACTGACTCCAGCTTTTGCTAACCTCCACTCTACTCTCAACTAAAATCAGTCTGTCAAAGAGACATCTTCACGCCTATGTTTATTGTAGCAATATTCACAATAGCCAAGAAATAAAAGCAATTAAAGTGTCCATCCACTGATGAATGCATAAAGAAATTGTGCTACATATACACAGAAGGGAAAACATTTCTCATAAGAGTTCTCCAAGGCATTAGCTGCCTTTGTGAGTAACTCTGTTGGTAGAGTGATCAGGCATCAATTGACCAGCCAGTTGGTGGAAATATTGTCTAGAGAGGATTCTTCAAGTATCCTATGGATATTAGACTAGATTAGATAACCAGTAAAGTACCATAGCAAATCAGGAGTGGGTTGATTGCTCTGTGACTTGTAAGTTTGGTTTATGTATAAGTACAGGTTAATGTAATAAGGCTAAGTTAAAAGTAAAGAGCAGGAGTGATCCTGATGGGCAGTATCTTTGCAACGTTTGCTCTTCTAGGTTTTGCTCTTTGGTCAAAGAGATGCTAACCAACGGAGTGGGCAATACTGTAGAGCTAGAGGGAGAGGTCGATGGAGACACCCTAGAGGTAAGTCACAAAGGCGTAGAACTTGGAAAAAGTTCTTTACTATGCTTTTTCTTTTCTTCTCGGTACTGGGGTTTGAACTGAGGGCCTCGCACTTGCTAGGCAGGTGCTCTACCACTTGAGCCACTCCACCAGCCCTTTACTGTGCTTTTAATGCTTAAAGAAAATGTCTCAATTTTCATGTGAAAATTCTCTATTGAGTGTATTTAAAAGTACTTTTGAACCAGCCAACTATCACTGTCCTTGGTACTCAGAGATTAAGTTTAATGTGTCTCTGTAGACAACTGTTACGACCTTGGAATTCTCTTAGCATGTTTAAGAAAAATTTTGGCCACAGACTAGACTCAAACTTCCTTTTGGGCACAACCTATGAATAGTTTTTTTTCTAAGCTAATCAGTACTATTTATGAGACTCCTAGAGAAATAGCTGGCCAGCTGGAAACATGACTTCAGTTAGATCTGCTTATATATCATATACTAAGTATAACAAAATTTTAAAAATTTAAATCATTTTCAAGAAAGCCAGATCATCATAAACTCTATTGGACTGCACAGTTGTAGTCCTCAGTTACTACAGAACTTCACATATGTTTAACTTTTTCACAGTTATTCAGATTTGCCACTCATTGAGGTTCTCTCAGTGATTATAAGTTAATAAGATTTTATTATACTTTCAAGTTAGACTGAAATGAATCCCTTGAGGTTTCTTTTAGGAACTATAAAAGGGCCAGGCAGAAGGACTCAAGCCTTTAATCTTAGCTAATTGGGAGGCTGAGATTGGGAGGACTGTGGTACAGGGCCAGCCTGGGCAAAAAAGTTTGTGCGATCCCATCTCAACCAAAAGCTAGGTGCAGTGGCACACGCCTGTTATCTCAGCTACAGCAGGAAGCTTAAAATAGGAGGATCACCATCCAGGATTGCTGACCTAGGCAAAAAGTGAGACCTTATCTCAAAATAACCAGAACAAAAAGGGCTGGAGGCATGGGTTAAGAGGGAGAGCACCTGCCTAGCAAGCACAAAGCCCTGAGTTAAACCCCAGTACTGCAAAAAAGGGGGAGGATATCACAGCAATTAACTTTAATAATTGAGTCAGGTACTAGAATTAGTAGCTTAGAATCAAAGTTTATTGTAGAAATGAACTTGAGTGATGCACTCTGAAGGCAAAAGACATGGGCAGAGAAGGGTGTGAGATAAAAGTTGTGGAGCAGGCTGGTTTCTAGTTAAATCAGTGATGTCTGCTTTAGTAATTTTAATTGTCTTCATCTTAATTGTCATGAACATCCCTAGAAGTAGATGGGAAAGGAAACACGCACACTGTTCTGTGTATAAAGTGCACTTCTGTAAGTAGACACAGTGGCACATGCAACACATCAGAAATATACATTACTTTCTCACTGCTTTAAATAAGTGTTGCTCAGCCTACACGAACCTTTGTTTTCATCATTGAGAGGAATCAACTCTAATGCAGCTGTGTGGGCTTGCCATTTTTCTTCTTCTTTTGCTTTTTCTTTTGTTTCTTGAGACAGGGTCTTTCTATGTAGCTCAGGTTGGCCTTGAACTCATGAAGTTCCTGCCTCAGCCTTCTTAGTACTCAGATTACAGGCGTGTGGAACCACTCAACTATGACAGTTTTTAATGATCAGATTGGGGGAACAAAATAGCAATACAAGTTACAAATTGAATCATTGCAGTATATGCTAGAATGTGTGACTGGAAGCAGGAAAGCCCAGCATGTCTATGCTATATTAAGACACTTTTAACTCTTACTGACCTTCAATTCTTTCCTGGTCTATTAAAAGAGATTTGTTTCCTGACAAGTTGATAAGGGATCATGCAGGAAGACACCATTTTGGTGCACTTAAATGCTTAGAAGCAGTTTTAAATTGGCAGCATTCTATTGATGAAAAATCTCCAAAAGATGAGACATACTTTTATTTTCTTGGATTCTATTTTATAAGGTCATGCTATAAATCTATGAACAACTGAGAATCATTGTTAAAGTACATAATTTATGAACTGTGACTTTCCTGGCACTTAAATAATGATTATAATTTTTTAAAATTACTACACAACTAGTGGGCTTTTGGGAAGCTTTTCCACTGTCAGTTGTGCATTTTTTGTCCTATTGTTTTCCTTCTTCAGTATGAGTATGACCATGATGCAAACGGGGAGAGGGTTGTCTTGGGGAAAGGCACCTATGGGATTGTGTATGCTGGCCGAGATCTGAGCAATCAAGTACGAATAGCCATCAAAGAAATCCCAGAGAGAGATATTAGGTAAGTTGGGACAGGCTTCTACATTCTGCTTTTGCCATCCTAACACCCCCCGATCCTGGGCCCACCACTTAGGATGCAGAGATTTAAGGATTGAATCTGTGTTGATACAATGATGTGGCCGCTTCTGTTGTCCCAAAATATGATAATTCTCTTATAAGAAAAGTGATCTGCTTTTGTTCTCTGCGTATTATAAATAGATTGAGAAAACAGAACTTAGTAGGGGTCTATGAATTACAGAGGGCCATATTTCAAAACAAACAAACAAACAAACTGTATTTCCACCCATGACTGTGTTGGAAGTTTTAATGTACTTGTTTGAAAATGTTTTAAAATATGACTGAGTGCTTTTTTTTCTTTTTCTCTGTGCTGAGGATCGAACACAGGGCCTTGAGCATACTAGGCAAGGGCTCTACCACTGAGCAACACACCAGCCCTGACTGAGTGCTTTTAAATTCAGATTGTAACAATTGAATGGCTATGATTTGCTTGGATTGTCATTAAGGAAATTAAATGCAATTTTTAAAATCAGAGTTTTGCAATACAGACTTTTTTTTACTACTCTGCCCTTCAACCTCACCCATCATCAGCATTGCTAACCTATTTAACATTTTTAATCTTATTAAATATTGACTTCTTTGTGAACTTATATCCCATCTCAATCTAAACAAAAGCACAGCAGTATTTACTGTTGATTGATTCTGTAGAGAAGGTGCATATGCGGTCATGGCCACAGCATGTCAGCCACAGCCGCACCGTTGCCTCCAGCACTGGGTGCTTATGGATATATGCACACATCCCTTCATCTAGGTGACCATTGATTGAGTAGAGAGGAGTTACAGGTGATTTCTCTCAGCTATATGACTATTCACTCATGAGTATGTGAACTGTAAGACGATGTAGTAATGAACTAGTCCAATTTGTTCATGTTACTAATATGTAAGCCAAAATTAAATGACTTTTCCCAAGGACATGCAGAAATAAGACTAGGATATTAGTGTCTTGAGTTTCTCATCCAATATTCTGTCTCTTATTCTTGTGATAGATAAGATATTGTAGTTGTATAGATTTGGAGAAATTCCTGGCTTGTACCACCTCCTTCAGTTAGTAGCACTAGCTGTTCCAACTTTTCATTGTCCATAATGGTTCCTGGGATTTTAGAACTAGAAGGGGCTTTTGAGACCATTTTGGCTAACTTCCTAAATTTGCCAGTGAATTTAGGATAATTGGGCACCTTTTTTCCTCCAAGAACTAAAAGGTGACTAGGATACTATCCAAATCCTAGGGTGCTACCAGTTTGGTGCCCGTGAGTGACAGTGGCAAGTACCATAATGGAAGGTTACATAGAGTGGTGGTTTTTTTGTTGTTGTTTTGTTTTGTTTTAACACAGAGGAGTACTGACTTTTCCTGGGTGAATGGTGGCAAGTTTGAGAAAATATATCATCTTTAGTCTGTTCTTTGAGGGATGAATTTGGCAAAAAAGGAAGTCTCTCTGAGGGAAGAACAGAGCTGTTTGAAACAAAGTGTATTCAGAGAACAACAAATCTCTGATATGGTTTGACTGTAGTATGTGGAGTAGTGGAGGACTCCTGAGGCAAAAAAAAATTTTTCTTAAAGGGATCGTCTGGCCTCATTTTGAAGGTCCTTGTGTGCCACATTAAGCAATATGGTCTTTATGTGGAATTTATGGAGGGAAGTGGCACAGGGAAGTGTGTGGTTTAAAACGAGGTCATCCCCTGAGATGGGGCATGAACTAACAAATTCAGAGACTGTGGCTGGGCAGTTCATTGGGTCTGGGGTTAATCTGTAGAGTAAGAATAGAAAGCAACCCAGGACAGAATCTTCCAGAACACTGTCCTCCATGGGAGACAGAAAAGAGGGAATGTTGAGAGAGGTGAAAAATGAAGAGTTCAAGCTCTAACAGTAACGATAGTAATAATAGCTGTCATTAATTGAGCACTTAGCACACACCCAGCATTCCACTGGTACCTGGGAAACTTGAAGAGCTTCGGCCCCCAGCATCCCTACACAGATTATCATTCTTTCATCTGGAGTGCTTGGGACCAGAAGTGCTCTGGATTTTGGATTTTTTCAGATTTTGGAATATTTGCAGATATGTAATGAGGCATATTGGGGATGGAACCCTATTCTAAACACAAATTTCATTTATGTTTTACATATGCCTTATAGACCTAACCTGAAGGTCATTTTTATATATATAATACTTTAGTGCACCTGCGTTTTGATTGTGACCCACTGCACAAGGTCAGGTGTGGAATTTCCTACTTATGGCATCATGTTAACATTCAAAAGTTTCGGATTTTGGATTTTTGGATTAGGGATGCTCAGCCTGTGTCCCCTATTTTACAGATGGGAAGCTGAGTAGGTTCACAGGAGCCAAGGAGAGAGATTTTCCAGAAGGAAGGGATGGCCAAACAGTAGGGCGGATACTGGTGAGGTGCCATGAGGGCCCAGAGCCCCTGGGATTTGGCAGGTGATACTGGGTTTGTTTTTTCCACAATAGGTACTCTCAGCCTCTGCATGAGGAGATAGCGCTGCACAAGTACCTCAAGCACCGCAATATTGTCCAGTACCTGGGCTCTGTTTCGGAGGACGGCTACATTAAGATATTTATGGAGCAGGTGCCTGGAGGTGAGTAATTGCTGTCTTCTGGTTTCGCATTCTGAAAATCACTCTTGAAAGTGCAGTACGGGCATCATTGCCTTGCCATTTAAAATGACAGACCTTTTAGAGGTTCTCAAAAGAGTTGGATGCGAACCTTCCAAATGTCACAGATACCGTGTGTTTCTGGTTTGTTTATACAACCCACAAATACTCATTGACTACTAAGTGCCAGCATTAGAGACAAAAAGAAAGCCTTGATGTCTTTGCAGTGTAGGAGTTAAAGGTGTTTTGGAAAAGGGTGAAGAAGAGGAGACACGGGTTTTAAAAGTAACATTGCAAAATAACATATAATGAAATCAAATACCAGTGCTTTATCCACAAAATGCCCACCCATAGGCAATACAGAATATAAAAGGCAAGCCTTTCTTGGATCTAAAGCCCACTGTCTGGTTTGAATGGATCTAGTGTCTACAAGCTGTGTGACCTCAGGAAAATTATTTTACTTCTATGTACCCTCAGTTTTCTGGTTAAGTAAATGAACTGCAAAATTGGAGTAAAAATAATTACTATGATAATTGGAATAATAATTATTAGAATAATAACTATCTTAGTGGGTCATTGGGAGGGTTAAATGAGGTAACACATATACAGATCTTAAAACAGTGTCTGGCAGGGAGCAACAGCCCAGGAAGTAAGTGTTCATTGAAATAACAAAATTTGTAAAATTTGAAGTAATTATTATTATCTGAATACAAATGTTGGGTTGAAAATATCACTTCACCTTACTTCCCTGAACTCCTATAATCGAATGTCTGTCATTCTGGTGAGGTTATTTTGTGTGTGTGTCCATTTCTAGGAAGCCTGTCTGCTCTCTTGCGATCCAAATGGGGGCCCATGAAGGAGCCCACTATTAAGTTTTACACCAAACAGATCCTGGAAGGCCTGAAGTATCTCCATGAAAATCAGATAGTGCACAGAGACATAAAGGTATTGGGGTCTCTTAAGTCACTGAGGTGGCATTTTTCTCATATTGGTCATAAAAGCTGAATGACCTTTTCACAGAGGGTGGTGATTTAGCAAGATGGCTTCCCAAGTGCCAAGTTCACTCTTCCTTGAGACGGTTCTCAAGATCTCAAACTTAAATCCACCATTAAATACTCAGTGCTGTTCTTTTTCTGAAGGGTGATAATGTTCTGGTAAATACCTACAGTGGAGTGGTGAAAATCTCTGATTTTGGAACCTCAAAACGCCTCGCAGGAGTGAACCCATGCACGGAGACCTTTACAGGTAAGCAGAGCAGAGCTGATCATGTGGCAGTCACGTTGGAGTTAAGCTTTCCACACAAGCTGCAGTCATTCAAGAGTTACTTACCGGGTACCTTATCAGCACACAGTAGCAGTGGATGCTTGATGTGGAAGATGTACTGTCCCTGGCCTCAAATTGTTTTAACTTTGTCATAGTGATGTACTTAGCCAGCTTCTTGCATACCAAGATTGCCCTGCTTTCTTGTTGGCCTCTCAGGAGTTGCATGGGCAGAAGGCTCTGATGTGGTCTCCTAAGGGGTCTCACCCAGTCAGCAAAAGGGCCTATCCTTACAGTTGGTAGCACATTAGTGAAAATCATGGGTATTTCGGAGGAACTTATTAGGGCATTTTATCGGTCAACCAGAGAAATAGCCTGTTACCTTGGTGAATTCTGGCACCTTGTATTTTGATATGATTATGTTTTCGAGGGAGGGTGATTCTTCTGTGGAAATGGGACATCTTAGGTGGTTTATGACAAACAGCATTTTCTTGTCCACATGTCCATGACAGAACAGTTTAAATGCTGAGAGGGACTGAATTTGAAGGGTGATAAAAAAAAATCACCAGGCAGCTTTCCATTTCCCAGACTAATAGGTAGAAGGCTGCTCAAAGCTGCCTGTGCTTCTCGAAAATTCCTACTCTGGTAAAAGTTCTGACCCCAGGAAGGAAGAAGTTATTTTTAATAAGTAAAAGTTATGGTCCCTTAAGGAGTAAACTAAAGATCACAAAGCTCTTGCTTGGTAGATTTATTAAATCGCTGTCATAGTCCTATAGCTCTGAAATAAGCTGTAGAAGGCTGCTCTTTATCCCTGAAGTGGCCAAAGCTGTAGAATGGACAGCTTGGGCCTTATTTTTGGTGAATACTGTCTCAGTTTTGTAGAACCTTTCTTCAACAAGAGAGTTGTGTGTGTCAGCTGCTGGACGCCCACAGTGGATACACACTCCCCATTGAAAGGGAATTTTAATGCACCAAAAATGACTTTTTAGTTGTGAGGCAAGAGGAGGTAAGTATGTCTCAAAAATGGGAAAATTCTACACCAGGGATCCATCAGAATCTCCCACAGAAAGAGTGTGTTAAATCTTCATGTATCATTTTTGGTATAATATGCAAATACGTATATGTATAGATGAGTATGTATATAGGACTAGCCCTTTTTTTCTCTTGGCATTTTACATCCCTAATCGAAAATGACTTATACCCTTCTCTTTGGAAGCCACCAATTAGTTTGGCAATACATAGCAAGAAAGGCTTTGAAATAACAAGGAATTATTTCAAAAGCATAAAGCCCCCAACAGTTTATTTCATAATTAGCATCCCCAAGGAGAAAAAAAATCACTAAGAAAACACATGTATAATTCATTATTGCATATCACATTTCCCAAGTAATTAGTTTGAGAAGGCATAATTTTGCATTGCAAAATAATGCAGGGGTGTTTGGGGGATAATAAAGAAGGGGTCTCATTTTGGTTAGGAAATACCCTTGCATGTAATTACTCTTTGCAAAACAGAGCAGTTCTGTATAGAAGTCTTAGCTGGTTGGTGCAGAACTCTGGGTCAGGTGGATATGGTGGAGCTTTTCCCCATAAGATGCTCTGAAGCCATCTGTGCCTTGGCAGAAGAACCAAAGCCTCAGGGCAACTGCTTGGCCTGGCTCCTTCCCCTCCCGAGTTCCTGTGAAGAGCTTTTACCATAGGTGTAATAAGCTGACTGGAACAAGGTGGGATTTTTTGTTTGTTGTTTGTTTGTGGGGTGCTGGGAATAACTTAGGAACTCATGCATACTAAGCAAGTGCTCTACCACTGAGCCATACCTCCAGCCCTTTTGTTCTTGTTGTGGTAGTTTAAACATCTTTATCGAAGTATAATATAAGTGTCATTAAAGCACTCATTTGAAATGCACAATTCAATGGTTTCTGGTAAATTACTGAATTACTTCCACCACCCATTTGTGGAACATTTCTATCACCCCCAAAAGATCCCTGTGTCCCCGTTGCAGTCAGTCCCTCTTCCCAACCCAGCCAATTTCGGGACTGACTTTCTATGTGGATAGATTTGTGTATTTGGGGTGTTTCACACACATGGAATATTGCAATATGTGTTTTTTTTCCATACAGCTTCCTTTACTTAGCATGATGTTTTCAAGACTGATCCGTGCTATGGCACATAGTAGCCCTCCACTCCTCTTCAGCTGAATAGCCTTTCATGGTGTAGTTCTGCTATGGTCATTCACATAAGAACCTTTGTGTGGACATATGTTTTCATTGCTCTTGCATTGATACCTAGGAATAGAACTCAGGACAGGAACTCTGTTCTGGTCTATGGCTGTAAACATCCTTGATTCAAGGATGGGCAGGTTCAAATCCTGACTCAACCGTTTGTTGGCTGTGTATCCTTGGACATGTGACTTACCTTATATGTGCCTCTGTTTTTTTCATAAGTAAAATGGAAATGCTCATAGTAGCTACCTCATAGGGTTTTTAAGGACTAAAAAGGCTAATATTGATAAAGTGTTTGACTGGTACATGCATCATGAAATTGAAGTATTTGCTAATTAAATAAATATAATAAATACTAATTTGTACTTAGAAGTCACAGGCTATTAGAGCTGAAAGGATCCTTTAAGAGAATTGTGTTTCCACATGTAACTAATGTGTTGAACCTGTGAGACTCAAAGGTTGTCATCAGAAATCATCTCCCACTGCCCCTTTATATCTGCCCAGGGCAGCAGGCCTTTCCCATGACTTTTCCAGCCACCCTGTATGACAAAGAGAGTTGTAATGACACTTGAAGGAGCAAACAGGCTGAACTGGGTAATGAAGCAGGTATGGGCTCATATACTATATATTCATCAGCATTCTGGTCCTTGTTTGTGGCGTTGACTCCTCATGCCTCTCCCTGCCAACTGCAGGGGCAGGCAGCAACCTCTGCAGGTGTCAGTTTCTCCTCCCTCACCTCTTTCTTATTCATCAGTTTCAGGAAGGTGAGGAAAGTGTTGTAAGCTAGTTTTGTGTGCTCTGGGCCTAGCTGCTATTTCCTGTTAATGTCTCTTGCAGAATCCCTGTGAATGTGACCCCCATGTCATGAGGGCCAGTTTTTTTGGCTGACTTCCTCCTACCCCTCCCCAGCCATATACCAATCAGATCATATACACCTCTCTTCCTCTTCTCATGGAAGGGTTCAGGCCCTGGAAGAGTGAGTGCCTTTCAGCAGTATTCCTTTGAAAAAGATCTGAAACCAGTATTTCTACACAGCTTGTCCCATACATGGTTGCATACTATTTCATTGGCCATTTTAACCTCTGGGGCAAGGTGACCCTTCTCTGGTCTTGCCCCAGGTGCTACATGACATTCCTCAAATCTCTCATTATCTCTCATTATCTCCCTAGTTGTCTCTCATTATCTGCCTTCCCCCTTCCAGCCTTCCTGCCACATTCCCCCCTTTGATGCTCAGACCCACTTCTGGGTCAAATCTTGATCTTGTATTTTCACAGCGTTATTACGTGAGCAGCTGTCTTCCTGGTACATATACTTATCATTTGACATATAAGTTTTCTCCCAAGCTAGGCCTCTGCAGGTGTTTCCAATACCCTGAGGTCGATAGATGGAGTTTTTAGTTATTATGACGCACACATCAAAGTATTTAGATGTTGGCCTTTTGGGGTTGTAAACCTGTGTCTGGCTAATAAGCTCCCTAGTGCTGGTAAAGTTTCAGACCTCTAGCCACTGCTCTCAGGGGTGATAGATGGGGTTAAAACAGATATACTGACCACTGAGTAGGTGGTATGGTTATAGATACATTACCCAACAACTGTGCCTGCACAAGAATAATAAGTATGGAAAACCAGAGTTTTGGTAACAACACTTCCCGCTCAGGTAGTGCATATACATGAGTCACAGTCCAAGACCCAGGTAGAGAGGTGACCAAGATTAGCAAGAAGAAAACACAGAAGGGACTAATCCTCAAAAGTGAGATGGCCAACTCCTCAAGCTTCAATTTTGCGTAGACTAGTCAGCTTCTGGAGTGAGTAGAGCAGGGCTGATGTCTCATTGTTCATGGTCTCCTGTTGTCTTCTGGGAAGCAGAGTCCTGCCAGGGAAGGGTGAGGGCATTCCAGAGGGTGATCTTGCACGATGAGGCTGGGTCAGGAATGCACTCCCATTTGAGGGAAGCTGGCTTTACTCAGCTGTGATGGATCCAGGGAATAATCTCTGCTACCTTAACTGCAGTGGGGGTGGATACAATAATGACAAAAGGGCCCCTCCAATTGGGCTTTAGTGGTTGAATATTCCATTTCTTTACCGAAACAGCATCCCCTGGTTTATAAAGGTGTGTGGGAGTTGACAGGCTAACATGGAGTCTCTCTCTTACCCAGTCAATTGATTTTTGAGAGTGTCAACTTGAGGGCCTGCATCTGCTGTCTCAGGGTGAGGTCACCTATTTCCTTAAGGTCCCCTTGCAGGCCCTTGACTAAAGGGGGTGGGCACCCAAAAAGAATTTCAAAAGAGGAGAGACCCATCCACTTGGTGGTTCTAGATCTAATCCTGAGCAAGGCTTTGGGCTGCAACTGATCCCATTGTAGGTGGGTCTCCTAGCATAGTTTTCCCAGTTGCAATTTTAGAGTCCTGTTCATATGTTCTACTTTCCCTGAGCTCTGGGGGACAGTAGGCTGTGTGCAGTTTCCAAGTTATTCCTAAGCCCTTAACCACCAACTGTATTACCTCAGCCACAAAGACCGGCCCATTGTCCAATCCAATAGACACAGGTATTCTGAACCAAGGGATGATTTCTTTTAACAGGCATCTGGCCACTTCCCGGGCTTTCTCAGTCTGAATAGGGAAGGCTTCCACCAATCCTGAGAAGGTGCAGACAAACACCAGCAAATATTTACATCCTCTGGCCCATGGCATCTCAGCAAAGTCCACAATCAGGTTTTCAAAAGGAGTTCTTCCAACACTTGGCACTTGGGGTGGTGCTTTTGGCCCTT